CACATCAGATGTGAGTAATATTCGAGTACTATCCCTTTACGTTACCTAGAGAGCCTCGTGAACTAATCCCACCCATCGTCAATAAACCTTTCCCATTCTGACCCAAACCCTTATTATCGCGCTCTACTTTCATTTCTTTAATTGGATTGCACGATCTTACTGCTCTGAGGTGATCTAGTCCCACTGATTTGCCTCTTTCTCTTTTATGCTCCAATACTACTCTGACTTAAGTGGTATGCGCTATGCAGACTCAACGCTCTTGTCCCCCTACCCGGAGATTCCGCTTGACTCGCTCACTCTCTATTGTTGCGGACCTCTACCTGTCTTTAAATTTACGCGCTATTCCTACGCGCCGACTAATCTAGTTTCGCTTGATCAGACACTTGTTTCCAGTTTTACTTAGAGTTATTCCACGTTACAAACCTTGGTACGGCTGACTCGACGTCTTGCTCACATCACCTGGAAAGCCTCGTGGGATCCCTCACTACTTATCAGTAAACCTTTTCATACCGACCCTGACCTTTTCTTCTCTCGCTTTCTGTTTTCAATCCCTTTCTTATCGGACGTCCGGCTTTACTGCATTGCCGTGATATTGGCTCACTTGCCTAGTCTGTTTCCCTCAGTCTGCTACTATGCTATTAAGACCTACGCGGTATGCGCCCCGTAGTCTTAACATGATGTTTCCCCTAAATATAGAGCCTGCTTGACTTGCTCACCATTTACTGCTGGCTCCTTTCTTACCTTTACTACATGTCCTTATCCACACGCGCCGACTAATCAAGTCCTACCCGATCGGCCTCCTGCTCTCCGGATTTATTCAGACTTCTGAGACGTCACCTCTCTTGGCTCCTCTGACTCTACTATCCCTTTACATTACCTAGAGAGCTTATTGGACTTCTCTTACCCATCGTGAATAAACCCTTCTCATCCTGTCGCTAACTTATGTTTTATCGCGCTCTGTTCTCAATTGTTCTTCAACTGGCGGTGTGGTGATCTAGTCCACCGATCAGCTTCCTTCTCTCTGATTGCTGATATGCTACTCTGACTTAAGTGGTATACGCTATACAGACTCAACGCTCTTGATCTCTTACTACGTGAGTCTGCTAGACTCGTACAACTTCTGTTACAGCCTCTTTTCCTGCCTTTAATTTTACGTGCTATTCCTACGCGCCGACTTATCTAGTCTCGCTAGATCAGCCACTTGTTTCCACTTTTATTTAGAGTTATTCCAAGTTACAAACCTTGGTTCGGCTGACTTGACGTCTGGCTTACATCATCTGGAAAGCCTCGTTGGTTCCCTCACTCCTTATCAGTAAACCTTTCTCACACCGACCCTAACCATTTCTTCTCTCGTCTTCTGTTTACATTTCTTTTTAACTCGGACGTCCGGCTTTACTGTCCTGCCGTTATCCTCTTTCACCTGACCCGTCTGTAACTTTCCGCCTGGTTTTATTTCCTATTATCCTTGGCCTTTTCTCTTATTGCGCTCCAATTTGTATTCCCACAGCTTACACTCATTGCGCCCATCCAAGTTATCCTCGTGCGCATGATCTCATTGGCTCTGAGCTCGCTCCTGAGTATTGGCGGCACTCGGACCATTGCTTATTGTTGCTTGACTAGTACTTCCATTAGTATGCTCAACTTACCACTCTTCCTATTCCTATGCTCTTTACCTTATGCTCGCACTGGCATACTATTGAGACCGTACGTGTCATAACGACACCCAATGCACGGCAGTTTTGGCCCCCTGTCACCATTTTCCTAAATTCGGAAGGCATTTGGACTGTAGAATCATGAACGCTTTAGTGTAATTACTCTTACGAA